CGGCGGGCGCAGCCGGAAGTACGTCACAGCCCGTCCGCGGGCCGTTTTGCGCGGCCGCAGTGGCCCCTCTAGGAACTCAGGGGAAGTCTCGGCGGCTCGGTAGATCGCGGCTCCTCCAACGTGAACCGGCGGGATCTCGTCTCCCCGTCGGTTTTTTACTAAAAAAAGTCCCGACCTGAAGGCGGCGGCTTCGGCCAGAAAGGAGCAACTAGGGAGACACCATGCGGTTCGACCTGAGAGAATCTGGAGAAACTTCTTACCTTTGGTAGAAAGACGGGGAGAATGAGGGACAAAGCGGTCTAGTTTTCCAATATGTGAAGTGTTGTCATTTGAGAAAGAAGTTTGCATTATGGGACCAGAAGACCAATGGATGGAACTGAGAGAGAAGTTCAGTGCCAGGAAGGACTGTCTTGAGGAGGAGTTGCTCAGAAATGGCCACTCGCTCGGGTTTCTGACGAGCGTCCTCCCTGCCCCGAAGGCGCGAGGCTGGGACCCCTGGTCCAGGGCGCACACCTGGGCCGCGGCTCCATTCCAGGCCCGTCAGGGTCCCCACTCTCTGAAAATCAGCGGGAAAAATGTCCTCGGGTGAGGATTCACAAAAAACAAGCCAAACAAACAAAAATGGCCACCTCCTGTATCATCTTGTGCTGTTTGAAGAATTAGGAGAGGCCTGGGGATGGGGCGGACAGGAGGTTCGCAGGATGAATTCTGTGGGTTAGACAACCTTTAACACCTTCCTACAGCTCGCCTTAGGCTCCTAGTTTCCCCTTTAAAACGGGGAACTTGTAACACTCCTTCGCCATTACCGCTCCCTCCACACACCGCCTTTGAGTGCTTACTATCGGCCAGGTACCGTGTTGTGTTCTTGGTTTCAGTTTTTTATTGCTGCGCAAAACTCTACCCCCAAACTTAGTGCCTTAACACAACATTTATCATGTATTACATGACCTCACAAATCTGCGGATTGGCTGGTTGTTCTGCTTCCGTGGTATCGAGTGAGGAGCTGGGATGGCTGGCAATTGGTGGTGGTCCGCAGGCTGGGAGCTCAGCCCGGAGGCTGGCCTGGGGCCTCCGTGTTCCTTCCTGTTTGTCTGTGGCCGTGGCTGCTTGGGCTTTCTCCGCAGGATGATTGGATTCCCCAAGAGGAGCATTTTACGAGGTGTACCCGTTAATAATGCGGATTTTTGTCAAGAGATGGGGTTACACATATGTTGATATATATGCGAGTTGATATGTATGTTATTTTGTTGTATTGACAACAAGCTTCAAAACTTCCTATGTCAAATTTTCTGAAAATGTTAACATCATAGATATTTTTATGCTTAAAAATGTCGAATTTCACGCAAAAAAAAAAAAAAGCATTTGCGGGAAGTTTTAATTCATTATTTTGAAGAAAAGTGCTAGCCATGGACATTACTCTGAATAAAGCACTTTTGATGTTTCTCTTGAAATTATCATGTTTTCTTTGATCACAAAATCCGCATTACTAACTGGTTAGTAATTCGGATTAATTGTTAACCGGTTAGTAATTCAGATTAATCATTGACCGGTTAGTA